GGTGGTCTTGCCTTGTTGCAGTGCCCTCCAGTTAGTGGAGCGAGCCTGCTTGTTAGGAGGCAGCAGATCCAGAGGGTGGCAATCTCCGCTGCTGGCAGTGCAGCCCGCGGTCTGGAGCAGAGGAGTTGTTTGTCTGGTTATGGCAGCTGCTCTCAATTCCTCAGAAAGGGGAACCCGCCCTCCCTCGTCAACAGCTCGTGTGCTGGGGGAGGCAGGAGGGATGCTGGGGGTCACAGCAGTGCAAACAAAGCTGCGGTGAGGTAGAGAGCAAAGGCTTTACACGCATGGGGTGGGGGAGGAAAAAATACCGAGAAGAGCAAACAAGCCCTGGCTCTTGGGCGTTGCTCTCAGGCTGGGTGAGCTCCCTGTCCCCCCTCGCCAGCAAGAGCAACTCCAACACCAGCAGCTCTGCAGCCCATCACGTTGGGACGTGGCAGGCTGTGTCCTGCGGGACGTGGCGGGGGCGGCGTTGGGAGACCTCGCTCATCGCTGTGGTTCAGTCACCATCGGCATTCTCCCCAATCAGCGCTAACTTCATTAACGCTTTGGTTCCGGTAGAGACGGCCCGTCGCAGGAGTAGGACTGCTGCGTGGTTGGGGATTTCCTCTTGGTCAAGGGTTTTGTAACATTATCTGATACTAACGAATCTCTCTGACTAAATATAGTGTAGTGTTTCATAAAACACCTTAAACACCTTTCTGTAAACTTGGAGCTGCTTGTTTCACCCCTGAGCCATGCTGTGGAAGAGGCCTGGAAGACCCTGCCTGCTGGCCCCTCGCCATCTCTCTTCCTGGTGTCTGTGGGCACCCCTCTGATTTTCAGAGGGCTCATTCCTCTGCCTCTTGCTCTGCGCAGCTCCGACCCTGCCTCCCCTCCCAGCGCGGCACAGGCACAGCGGGAATGCCAGCTGCCATCCCCACCAGCCAGAGGATGAGGGGTCTGGAGGAGGGCCCAGTGCCGGCTCCTGGAGCTGGGGAGCGCTGGGTTCCCCTCCCCAGACG